TGGGTCCAGGTTCATTCGTTTTATGCATGTCGCTGTCCAGTTCTCCCAGCACCACTTGCTGAAGAGACTGTCTTGATTCCATTGGATATTCTTTCTTCCTTTGTCAAAGATTAGTTACTACACGCTTGTGGGGTCCATTGGCATTCTTTTCCGCTGATCTGAGTGTTCGTTCTTACAGTACCATACCGTCTTGATGATTATAGCTTTGTAGTGTAGCTTGAACTGGACTGTGATGCCTCCTGCTTTGGTTTTTTTCAAGATTAAGCTTTGGCTGTTTGGGACAATAATGGCCACTTTTAAAGATGACAAAACTGAGGCTCCAGGAGGTTGGTAATTGTCTAAGGCCACAGCTGTAAGTGGCAGGATTTGGACCAAGCTGCGATGATTCAGAAAGCCTTGCTGCTCTTTTCCACAGTGAAACACAGTTTTCTTTTTCGCTTCCATACTCCACACACATCATGAGCCACTGCCCAGACTCTTCTTACCTAAGACGATGTGAGCCGCCGAAGACATTGGTGACTCTGCCTCAAGTGCCTCTCTACTCAAAAAGTGCAGCCAGGCTACATACCTATTTCTCACATTCTCACCGCTAAAGAATTTATTTTTATTTTTAAATTTATTTTTATTGAGAGCTGCATTTGCAGCAGAGAGGGGCAGAGGGTCAGAGAGAGAGTCCTCAAGCAGGCTCCACACTCAGCACAGAGCCTGACTACCGGACCCCACAACCCTAGATCATGCCTCCTGGGCTGGACATCAGGAGTTGATGCTCAACTGACTGAGCCAACAGGCACCCCACTTTTTTTGGTTTTTAACTAATGCCCTGAAGATGAAATGATCATAAGCTCAAACTGTCAGTGGCATCCGGAACTCAGAACCTCAGGCACTTTTTCATTGGTTTAAATATCTTTTCAGTACACACTAGATGCCGGGTACTGTTCCTGGGGCCCTGGAAAACATTAATGAATATGATAAAAGCCCTGCCTCAGAGGGCTTCCATTCTCATGGGAAGATGAACAAGTGAAAAAGTAAACAATTAGGAGCCACTTCAGCCAGAGCCACCTAGGCGCTTCGTGTCTTTCATCTTTATAGTGTGTTATTTAAACGACCTTTCCCCTGCCGCACTCCAAACCTCCCCACCATCCATAAGCACACTGACCATCTTGCATTGCAGAGAGCCAAGCATATGAATGAAACCCTTAACAAATAAGTTCCTAAACGAATTAAATTATGATTGCCTTCTGCTCACTTTTTCAGACCTGGGGAATGTTCAGCAATGTTTCCCCTGCCCTGACTTTATCGCAAAAATGGGAATAATAGTCCTCGCCAAGTTTCTCTTCCTCATGAGGTTATGGTAAGAATTAGCCTAACATAAATAAAGTGCTTGTAAGTGAAGAAAGATATGTGATGCTAGATACTAGTTATTATATGTTACATAAATGTTGAAGCTCCAAGAAAACATTTGGTGTTATATGAGGCATCGTTCAGATTCACACTGTGCCCTGTGGCTTTAATTACACAGAATTGTTCTGATCAGAGATGACAAGATCCAATGCAAGTTCCGGCCTCTCAGTGTCCTCCCATGTGAAAAGTCCTTTTGTGTAGGGACTTTTTCAGTGAGCCAGCAGCCAACGTTTGTTTGCATACCTGAGTTGGCAAAATTTTACAAATTTTTTTAATGTTTATTTATTTTTGAGTGAGAGAGACACAGAGAATGAAATGGAGAGGCAGAGAGAGACAT